TAGTTTTAACATCTAGTTGCAAAACTTTTATTATGTTTTAAAATCTAGCTAATGCTTTAAAAAAATTATAGCGTGCAGTTTAAGGTGAAATACCATTTCAGCCGTAAGCAGTTAAGTATGTTTTTAAGAACATTAAGAGAAAAAAAAAACACAAAAACTTTGTCTTTAAGTACTATTTTTTCTAATATGAGTGCAAAAAATAGATATTAAAAAAGATTTTTTGTTTTTAAATCGGAATAACTTTTTGCATTTTCCTAATGCAGAAAAAATAAAAGTTTTTTTTCCTAGTGATAAACCTCAAAAGCATTTCGTCGCATTTTTAAATTTTATTTTTTAATAAAATCAAGGATATTAGCTAAAGTACAAATAAATTAGTGAAGTTTATAAAATTATTTTACTTCTATCTGAGTATTCATTCATTGCACTTTGCGTACATGGAATTTTTAACATGGAACACGGATGGAAGTTTTAAGAAGCTGTACTCACCTAATGGCTTAATCTAATCACATGTTTGTAAAAAAAAAAGTTTCTTTTTTAACACCATTCTTAATGTTGAGTCGATGACTATCAAAGAAGTGGATTGATCAAAGATTGATTGAGTATCAAAGAAGAAGATTGGGCAATAAATTTTGAAACACATTTTTAATTTCAGAGCTTTGTTTTGTCTGCTTTGAAGTAGTTATTGAGTTGTAAATTATTAAAATGAATAGTTATTCAAATTTCATAATCGCTATTTTTCTAAGTTTTTATTAGTTTATGATAAGCAGTCTACCTTTCACGTGATATATATATATATGGGTGATTCTCACGAAATATGACAATTCACTGTCTCTTGCTCCAAGATCTAATACTACAATACTAAAAGAAATTTTTTTTTTAAAAAATGAATAAATTGCATTGCTGTTTGCATTTTAAAATGACTTTGCACTAGCATTGACTGTTTTGTATAGTTAAAACATTTAATTGAACTTCAGAATGTCATTTTCCTGGCATGTCCCAAACAATGTTTTCAATAATAACTAGCTTCAAAACTTCCTATAAGTTTTTCAATATCTAATTTTTTTTATCTCAACCGGTGTCAGCATTTCTAGAATATGCGCAGAGGGTATTATTTACAACAACTTCGTTTAATATAATTTTTTCTTTCAATAATTTGTTTGTCCCAAGAAAATCTGTCATTTTCCTGGCTACTTTTATTTAGTGGTTTATAACCAAAATAGATAGAGCCAGCTATCAATATCTTATGCTAATAGATTGATTAGATACCCTCCTATATGAACATGCCCTGTTGCATGAATAAAGAACCAATTTTCTTTTTCAAAATCTATTTCCAAAAATTTTTCGAGATGAATAGGTTTCTATGTTGTCATTTTCCTGGCTTCTTGAAATCATTATTAACATAAACTACATAGATTTATTTGAGTTATTTNAGCCGCAAATAAATTCCAGCTTGATTCGTCACTTTTTTAAAGTTAGTAAACTTATTTAAAAAATCGCTATTGTGGTGAGATTTTTCTAACTCGATGAAATTTTCAAAAGTAAGGAGTAATTCTCAAATTTTTATGAACCTAGATAATAAAGTGGTTTGAGTAACTTTTCAAATATCAAAAACATTAAGGTGACTTATTTTCTCGAATCTGCTGCTTTTTTTTTAATATTGGATATCAAGTTTACATATTTTTGGAATTTGATCTAGATAGCAACATGTCAAATATGCTTAACAGAATAATTTAAAATTTAATTTAATTAACCCCTCCCCGCCCCTATGGGGGCATTCGGGGATTACGGAAGTCTCGAAATGCACGTCTGTGTCTTATCAGTGCAAGAATTCCAATAGATAGTGATGAGCCATAGAGGCCTTCAAATGAAACAACCCCGAAAGTGACCCTGGATGAAGCGAGTGTAAATGCACAAATCTAAAGATCTACTGCTTACAGACCTCCAAATTAGAATTGAAGAAAGTTTTGTAACATAAATTAAAGTTAGAATAAACTAAAAATGTGGCTTATCATTATCTAGCTTCAAAACTTGATATTGTTCTTGAAAACTGATTTCACCTAAATGTGTGTCAAAGCTAGGACTGGGCAATAAATCGATGCATCGGAAAATATCGATTCTATGCAATCATTGCCGATCCAATGTTAGAATTGGCAATTTTACGAAACATCGGAAATTGTGATTTACTGAGATGTGCACGATATTTACCGATGTATCAAATCGTTGACAGCGATACATGTATATCGCTGTGTCGTTGACATTGATGTCAACGCGCGATGTTGAGCATTGTTCCTGATAGTATATCGATGTCTGCAAGCTCACGCGAAGAGCATTTTCGTGCGCAGATGTGCAGTGATAGCTGTGGTGATGATCGTTTTCTTTCCCCAATTTTTTTACACCGTGACTCATCGTTTTGCTGATATGATGAATCTGAATGTGATTGAGAATCGAAGTGTTGTGCAAATCCTGTTGAGTTTTTTTTACAATCAATCCAACTGTTTAATGTTTCAACAGCTATTTTACTCACATCCACGTCTTTAAACATTGAGAAATAATTGTAAAAAAATGCAAAACCTATTTTTTTTAAAAATTGCAACTTACTAATTGAGAATTTACGCAGCACTAAATAAAAACATTAATGTACCGAAACATCACGATGCATCGAAATATCACGACGTTAGTGTGACGATACATCACGATGCCAAAATCTTAACATGGCCAGTCCTAGTCAAAGCATAGAAGTGCCCTATGATCCTTTTTTGTTTACATAAGATTCAGCCTCTGTGTTAAGAGAATTATTATTGAATATGCATAATGACAATAAAAAATAAAACAGAGGAAGAAAAACTTGTTTTGAAAACTTTTGTCGAGTGAAATCAGTAAAAAATATCATTGAAACGAATAAAAAAAAATGAATAATATGCGGGGATATGAATCAAATACCACTATCGAATAATTCGAGGTTTTCTAAGACTTATCACAAAGGCAGGTATGCTACCATAGCTGAAAATCGATCGATACCCTCTTTTTTGATACTTTGCTTTGAGAGAAACAAAATTTATAGACTATTTTCCTGGTGTGCTCTCTGTTTACATTTTTACTATTCATTGCGAGGGTCGTAAAAAATCCCACCAGATGGAAAACTTCTATAATACATATATATATGCTCAAAAAATAGTCAAACGTTCAAGAACTCCTTGGGATTTGCATGTTACAATCGAATATAAAAAAACGTGTCAACCCTATAAATCTTGTTTTTCGCGGGATAATAGCTTCTGGAGAATTCAAATCTGGAGTAGATATCATAAAACATTTCAGAAATTCTCCTAAATATTATGATATATTTTTTTAAAAAAATACATTTTTTTACCTTTTACTGGGGTAAAAAGTCACAAATATGTCTTTGAATTAATATGGACTAAATATTTAAAATTAGATGCTTAAAAGCAATTGTCAGCTTCTTTTAGTACAATATTTTTTTTTAAATTATCAAGTTGGTGAAACATGGTATGTATAATCTATAGACTAGAAATGAAGCACTTAAATACACTAAAAAAGTGCTGATCACTTCTGGACATTGCTTATGATCTGATTATATTTTATCACCGGTGTTTAATAAGCTTATCCACATAAGTTTTGCACTTATGCATATTCAACTGAAAAGTTGGGTAATTTCGAACCCAACCCAGAAGACATGGCATATCTTAGATAAAGGTTTCTTAAAACTATTGGACCTCATAATTTATACGAAAATTTTGTGTGTTCCCATAAACATAGCGCAAATTCGATAAACGCTTAGATTAAACTATCTGCTACTTCACTTGTAATGAAATGTACTATTACAGTTTCACGTCTTTAATTTTCAATTTTAATTTTAAAATTTAGAACAATGTGAAAATTTTAAAAAAGTAGCAAACTTAAAAATATAGTAAAAATAATATAATAACATAATAAAAATAAAAATGCTTCTTAACACATTCGTTTTTCCTTTGTCGGTATTGTCTTATCTTCATTAATTTCCAAAGAAATTGTGTAAAAATATTTGGTAATTGTAAATTTATTACAATTAGTAAAACGGATGTCAAAATTGCTACAATGTTTCGCGACCACTGCTGCAGGTTCCACAACCCCATTCGGGATCTGGACCCACAATTTAAGTAACACTGTCCTACATCGAGCACTAATACTAATCATCCCCAAGAGGAGTTTTTTTTTAAGTAAGACTAACACGTATATCGTAAATATACGTACTTAGTAAATATACTTAATAACTCTATACTTAAGTGAAGGGACAATCCTCTTTTCAAAACAACGCAGTTTTTTATAATTCCCAATGAAGATGATTGGAAATGGATAAAATCGAAACTAATAACTCAGAGATTTATTTAAAAAAAATTAAGTCACATTTTTTATTATCTAAATTATAAAATCTTGCTCTTCGTCGTTGGAAATCTGTGAACTCATAATAAATAATAAACAGAAATCATAATAAATTATTTGCCAAAAAAGTAGCATTTACAGCCCAGATGAAAATCGGTTAATATACAGATAAACATGCCTTACAGATGATATACATGCCTTCGATACAGATATACCCTCAGACAGATGTACATGCCTTGCAGCGTAATTTCATACTTGAAACAAGGCAGTTTGGCATTTCCTGTGACAATTTCATACCTTCCGACTTCAACGAGTGTTAAGCACGATCATGGGTGTGTATTACAATTGTTGAATGGTTATTTGTTTTGTATTGTATCAATGTGTGTACATATTAAAACCGGTCCAGTAGTTCTGAAGATAATCGACGGGGACTGCAAATTCTCTTCATTTCTTACACCTGTGCATGACGAGCCCTCAGATATTACAAAACCTTTTTTTTTATTATCAGAATGTAGTTGTCATTTCAAATTACATGGCTAAATTCATAACGAATGCAATGCAATTTAAAAATTCGTGTAGAATTATTGTTATTACTTGTTTTTTCCATGATTTTTTTTTTTCAGATGACTTCATCAAAAAATACAAGCATAAGAGTCAAGAAATGAAGAGGTCATTCGAATCGGAACCAAGGTCCCAATATAAATCCATTACAATAGAATTTTCCATCATGAAAACTGATGGAGTTTTATTAGTAATTAAAGATTTGATGAACAACTATAAAACAGTTGTTCTGCTCAATATTAGAAATAGATTTGTCGAAGTCTGGTAAGTAATTAACACATAATCAGCTTATTTTACTTTTAAAATCCCCCCTCATATTATTAATAGGTGGCGTTATTTTTTGAAATTCTAGACTAAAGTAAAGTCATTTTTAGTTCAATATTACTTGAAGTTGTCAGCATTTATGTTATATTCTAAAATAAAATAGTTCGCAAAAATCAAATCATTGACCATCTGAAATATATTGATTCCACACCATTCATTTTAACAGTCTATACTTTAATTAGAATCATTTGTACTGCAATTTCAACCATCCATTAATTTTTTACAATCGATTGCGCATACATTTTATTTTATTTTTTTGAACGTCGCTCAACAGCAGACCCAATTTTATATTATACTTGCTGAATGACCGTTCTTCGCACGGGGTGAATGAAAAATAAGTAAAGTATCAATAAATGACAGAAGAAAAACTCTACGAAATCATGGTCATAGCTGAAAAGCACATAGCGACACAATTAAAGAGTTTAATGAAATAACCAGGTAAATGGCATTTTTAAGGGAATTAATGAGTCACTGGTTTTGCCTTTTTTTAAGTCTTAACACAGCTAATAGCATAAATTTTTTGCATGTTAATATGATTTTTTATTTCAAATTAGGCAGTTAGGTTTTATTTAAAATTAGGAACAACAACGCGAAGAATTATTAGTCTCATCTTCTATTAAATTGGTAATAAAATAGTTCAGATACAATTTTTTTTTCATTCTGAAAATGTCACTTACCTGCTTCTTCAACTAAGTTTTTCAATTAATGGAGCTAAAGCAATAATTTTTTTTATTTAATATTATTTGTTGCCATTTGCGGTGGCTTTACGCTATTGAAGTAAGTAAAACTTGTTTTTTGTAATTCATCCCATTAGAATGAAGAGAAAATGTATTTAGCATCATTTAGCATGATGCTATTAGTCGCGGCTAAACCATAATCGTCAAAATTTACCTTTATTAAATAATTTTCTAGGGTACATATCCTTTTCGAGGGGTCTTTCTAAAGTATCGTCATTATAACGGCTTATAACGAAGTAAATCATTATAATATTTTATATCTATATTAGCATATTTGATACTTAGTACATAATCCTTCAGCATTTAAGTTTGATGAAAAATATATTTGTCAGTGACGGTCAAAGCCAAAATTTAAAAAAAAGAAATTTGAATTCCTATTAGAACTTCAAAGGGATTTTGGAGAATGGCCATTTCTCTATCCAACCTTTAATTTACTATTAAAATATTTAGTAGTGGTAGAACAAAGCTCTTTTGTTCTCATTCATTAAAATATTAATAAATTATCTTTGCTACCACAGGAAAAATATTTTCTGAAATCACGGAAAACCAGTTGTAGAATGCTTATCAAAACTGCACCGATTAGTATAATACCAGTAGTACATATTACCGTCAGGGATACATATGAATTAAACGTCATCTGTGAATGGTGATTTTCTACGGTTTTCCTAAGCAAATTTTTTATTAACCTTTTCTCCTTTAACTTTGCTTAGCGCATAGCTTATATTATTTTATTTCAATTAATTTAGATATTAAGACACATATAAAATCTTCAAAAATGAAAATATAAATGTGTGCTTGCAAGACAGCACTTCTTCAGGGGGCACACTGCCTGCAAACACACAGGAGCCTTTCTGTTGTCAGTGGAATTAACCCAAACTGACGGTGCCCCGAGACCCCATAATGAATAGACAAAAATAGAAAACCATTATCAAAATTGGAAAGCACTGAGGATACTGAAATGGTGTGTCCATTTCAGTATGTGGTATCAGACAACTTTAGTTCAGTGGTATCAGACAACTTTTAAAGTATAAATTTGCTGACGTAGCCCTCGCGTGTTACCACATCATGCTGCTCATTGCATTTATATGGCATAGCGAATATAAAATAATTCTACATTTAAATTTCCACAATAAACTATTTTTTTTTTATCAAATCGAGTTACAAGTTAGATATTGTCCCTGATGTTATTAGTAAAATATGTGACAAAACTGAATTGTCTATGGTTGTATTTAAGACAGTGACTAACGTTTAATCAATCAGAAAATTCCATTTCGTTTTTCCCACATCCCGTTCGAACGGTTCGTCGTAGAATGCTCTAATATCGACCTCGTGCTTCAAACTATCTGTATGCTAAGTTTCGTCGATTTAATTTGGATGATTTAGGAGTCTATAAAGGACACACACAGAGACATTCATTTTTATAGATTAGATAGATTCCCATAGATTGGGCAGTGGTAAATAAAATAAATAAAGCAAAGAATTATTAGTCCCACCTTCAAATAAATTGGTAATAAAATAATTCGGATGCGTGTGTTCTTTTTTCTTTCTGAAAATGGCAATTATCTGGTTCTTCCACTAAATTTAGCTAAAATAATTTTTTTTATTTTACTTAATGTTATATGTTGTAATCTTCGGTGACCTTACATTATTCAAGTAAGAAGAGCTCTTAGTTTGAAATTCATACCAATGGAATAAAGATAAAATGTATTTAGACTCTCTTGGCATGATGCTATTGCTCACGACCGATTCGTGATAGTTGAAATTTGCCAAGATTAAGTGATTTTCTCTGGTACATATCCCGTTCGAGGGGTCGTAAAACACTTAATTCCTAAGTATAGGTATTAAAACTGATTCATAATCACCAAATATATCAATATATTTTGTACCTATATAAGCATATTTGGTACTTATTACATAACCCTTCAACATTTGAGTTTATACGTATTTGTCTGTGGTCGCCAACTAAAGCCGCATTAGTTAAAAAAAAAAAGAAAAAAAGAACAGAACTTTATGAGGATTTTGGAGCATGACCATTTCTCTATCTGACTTTTAATTTACTGTTAAAATAACTAAAAGTAGTGATGGAAAAAAGTCATTTTAATTCCAATTCATTGAAATATTAATATACTATCTTAGCTACCACTGGAAAAAAATATATTCTGAAACTACGGAAAACTTGTTGCAGAATTCTTATTAAAACTGAATCACCAATTACCATAGTACCAGTAGTACATATTACCGTCCGGGACACATATGAATTAGGCGTCATCTGTGAATGGTGATATTTTAATGTTCTCTTCAGCGAATTTCTCATCAATCTTTCTTCCATGGGCTTGGCTTTTTAGCACATAGCTTATTTTATATTATTTCAATTAACACACATTATCAATATTAATTGAGCATTAGTGTCAATAATGATATGCAGATTATTTTTTACTGTTACCCAAAGCGCTTTTCTCCTTATTTTTGCTTTTTAGTACAAAAGTTACTTTTTTTATTTCAATTAATATATATTACCAACATTAATTAAGCATCATTGTCGTCAGTAACAGTAAGACGACTTCTTACTGTTTTTCTAGACAAATAAATACCTTTACTCCATTTCTCTTTCTTTCTAGTACATAGCTTATTTCTTTTATTTTAATATGCACGCATTACCTTAATTAATAAAACATCATTGGCGTAATTAAGCCTCATTGGCGCCGAGTTTTTATGTTTCTGCTGAGCGAATTAGTACCACTTTCTCATTAATTTTCGCTTTTGAATACATAAATTATTTTTTTCTGTTTCATTACCGTTGATTTCAAATAATTACTTTTTTTCAGAAACACTTTTAAAAGAATTAATATAAATAAAATAAAATCGCGTAGCATCAGACAAAGTGTAAATTTGATGACGTAAACCACGCGTCCTACCACGTAATGTTCATTGAATTCATCTGACGTAACGAATATAAAATAATTAAATACTTGCAATAAACTATTTTTTGTCCAAACAGTGGTATATGCTAGCAATTATCACCGATGTTATCTTTAAAATATGTGAAAATTGAATCGTTAAATTTAAAACAATGGCTAACGCTTAACCAATCAGAAAATTCCATTTCGTTTTTCGCTTATCCTGCAAGAACGATTTGTCGCAAAATGTTCTAATGTTGACAGTGACCTTCCTCGTGCTTGAAACTATCTGCATACCCTCCAACTTATGAGGATTTTGAAAATAATTCTTTCTAGTGGTAGCGAACCAAAGTAGAAATTTTTAAAGCTAATGGATGTCTCATAAAACTTTTATCAGAACTTAAGAATCTAGCCATATGTCCTGCACTTTTATAAGTAATAGTGGACAAGTTACGCTAAAATTAATTTTTTTTAAATATTAAGACATTAGTTTTGCTACCGTCAGAAAAGAAGATTTCTGAAACTACGGAAATTCCGTAGCAGTTGGAGGGTATGTATCTGTATGGCAAATTTCATCATTTTCTGTCCGATGGTTTAGGAGTCTAAAAAGGACATACACACAGACATTCATTTTTATATACAGTNTATATATATATATATATATATATATATATATATATATATATGGGATTTCAGGGGTGACTGTGACTCAAAGTGATCCTAAAAATTTTAAGTGCAAAAAAATCGATATCAAGATATCAATTCATGTACCATACATGTTTCAAATGTAACATAATTTTTTTAACTAACATATAATTGTTCTATTCCCTGAGTCGCGATTGCTCAGGAGATATGATGGCCCAGCGATGGCTGCTTCATATGAATTCCGCATCCGGCTTGCACCCACCACCGTGCTCACTGTGAAATCACTACCGTGAAATATCCTCAGTGGTAGACGGAACATGGGTTAGAGTCCCCTTGCCGTTAGGTTAACCGTTGGAGGTTTTCGTAGTCTTCCTCTCCATGTAACGCAAATGCGGGTTGGGTCCATCAAAAATTTTTCTCGAAGGCAAATTTTTCCCTATACTTGATCCAGGAGCCCCCTGTTCAAAATGACATGAATGCGGAGTGGAACATTAGTTGTCATTAGCACAAAAAATTGGTTCTGCTGTTCAACGACGCTTATAAAACAAAATAAAAATCACTTACTAATGAAGAATATGACACCTTTTCTGTAACTAATTCAAGGAAAAACTTACTTCTTACAAGAATCGCAATATTGGATTTTAAAATCACTTCAACATGA